CACCTTATTAACCTCCAGACATAAATCTGCATCCGGCGTCCGCACAGAATAGTTTCTCGCTTGTTTGTTTGATTAGTTGGAGATTTTTTAAAGCAAGATTGTTTGCTTTACTAATTGAAATTGTTTTTATGATGCAGCTTTTATTGGTCTGTTGGTTGAATGTTTTGGCTGCCAACTCATGGGTAGTCATGCATATGTGTTGTGTATGGGAGTTCGGACATTATCCCTTAATTCTCCCCAAAAAAAATATTTTTAAAGAAATTTGACTTTGGTGGATGGATGCGTTCATTGATCTCGGCTAATTGGCTTTATATATTTTTTAATGCGCTCTAGGTAATAAAGTCATACGACGCAAGCAAGCTGGCTTATCGCCCATCACCACCACCGGTTGCCGACCGCCAGCGACCACCACCGCCGGCCACCATCACCACCCGCCGCTGAGCCGACAATAGAAAATGAATCAAAAGTGTCAAAATCTAACTTTATCTCTCTAAAATCCTTCTCTCTCTCTGTGGTCGACTGCACATAAAGGGAGAAATTATTTTGATAAAACTAATATGAGTGGAAAATGATATATATATTTTTATAAAATTCAAACACCATGAGTGGAAATTATTTTGATAAAACTAATATGAGTTACCCTTACCAGACTTGGTCAAAATATATACAACTGCATGCCGCTTCACCAGGTATTAACATAGCAATGATGTATATCTTCTTTGAATTTTTTTCATCAAAGAAAAATTTAAACACCATAGAAGTTATATTTTTAAGAACAAATTTTGGTAATAAGACTAAGCAAAGCTAGTAGTTTAAGTTAGTTTAGCAAAGGGAGTAAAGCAACTTGAATATGTTAGCTAATGAAATAAGCTCAAAATTTTCATCTCACTACACAATTTTTCAATTTACCAAATAACTTATATGAGCCTTTAAATGAGATTCTAGTGCATGTTAGACACATCCCTAAGTAGATATTGAAATAATTTCTTCATTTAGAATAGTGAATGAGCCAATTAGGCCGAAATAAGAGCTTAGAAATCACCTTATAGAATGTATCACTAAGTAGTAGGCCAATTAGTCCGATAATCAAAAATGTGTTAGGATGGTTATTATTGTTGATAAAGGTAATAATATTATGGTTAATCATATTAAGCATTTTCTTAAGATGAAAGAAATGACTGATAACTTTATTTTGTACTAGAAAATTTACGATGTTAGAGTGAGGAGATATTACAAAGCAATATAGGTTTGCAATAATGGTATGTTTAATAATATTTAGATATTTTCTTAAGATAGAAGTGTAAGACTTAATAGAGTTCTATAACTCTTGCAAGAACTCGCATCATAATTTATGTAAAAGAAATCGAAACAAAAAAGACTTGAATCTACATAAGTCTTAAATCCTCAAGATCTTAAACAAGATGATTTTCACAATCTTTAATCAGAAGAAAAACATACCTTGATTCATTTTGAATTCGTTGAATGTCGAACTACGGTTTTTCTCCCTTCTCCCTTCACTTTCTTCTATCATGAGTTTATCATCTATAGAGCAAGATAACTCCTCCTTATGAGAGAGAGAGAGGACCAATAGTTATTTCCTATGAATTTTTCATAATAACTCCTCATGAGAGTTATTTTACAATAACTCATAAAATAACTCTTATGAGTTATTTTACAATAAACGCTCATATGAGTTATTTTACAATAACTCATAGGAGTTATTTTATAATAACTCAGATGAGTTATTTTATAATAACCGCTCATAGGAGTTATTTGATCAAACGGCCCATAAACGAATGATCAAATTATCTTTTCTTGACCAATACGATTTAAACATAAATAATTAAATAGCAGTAATTCAAATATATGGGCCACATAATGGTTTATATAATTAAATATATATTCTTAAATAATTATTACGACGTCTCGCATAATTAATATATTTAATTATTCTAACAAGAAGAAATGTTTCAAACATTTGTTGCACGATAAAAAACTTCTCATATAAGCTACTTGGATTTGTGTGAATAGTGAATGGGCACACATAAGAGACCTAGTTATTAGCTAAGATTTTCACAATATCCACATAAAAAGGTATTATTAGTTCTATAATCAAAAAAGGTGTTGGGATGGTTATTCTTAGGAATAAGAGTGATAACACTTTGCTTAGTTATAGTACATATTTTGGAAGGAATGATGTATAGCTTCGTTGTATGCTGAAAGACTTGTAATGGTAGACTAAGAATTGTTTATCTTGGTGTTGCATAAAAATTCACACACAAATATAATTAAAGAAATTCTTAGGGAATACCAAAATGTATCTAAAAACAAAAAAAAAGGGTCAATATCATATATCATGGCCAAATTAAAATAATTCACTAGATGAATAAGATTACAAAAATCCAATCTTTCCCTCATTCAGAGAAGACATGATTATAAACTATGGATTACTTTCTTGAACTCCTATAAATTTGGAAGTTGTTAGTGTTTGGTCCAATTTGTAATTAGTTTTTTTTTCCCTTGATTGCAATTTTAGTGAGATGGTCCAGTCTCTTTTAAAGGAATGGGCTTATAAGTACTTCATCATTTTATTTTAGTTATATGAAAAAAGAAGGAATAAAAGTTCTATTATGTTTTCTTTTACTCTAAATCTCTCCCTCTCTCCCTTTATTTTCTCTTCTCTCTATCAGTGGAAGCAACCAAAAGGTGGTCGGTGATCCCTCATGCAATATCATGAAGTTTTTAACTATGTTCTATTTGATTGATTGGAGCTTATATAGACTAGACTAAGATTTCGTTTGGAATGGCTTTCTTGCTGCTTCTTGGAGCAGATTTTTAGTATTAAAAATTTTAATTTTTGAACTAAAAATATGTTTAAAGAAGCAGTAAGACAGCCGTCTCAAATGAAGCCTAAGTCTTTGTTAATTTGGAACGGGTTTCCTACTATTTCTTGAGACAACTTTCTAGTACAAAAAAGCTGTCTTAAGAAGCAGTAAGAAAGCCGTCCCAAATAAAGCCTAAGGAAAAACACCTTTGTTGTCACTACGGTTATCTCATTAAAATAATTCTTTTGGACAATTTATCCAAATGCTCCAATTTCATTGATAGTTATAATTTCGTTGAAGAGGAATAATGTAACATAAAGGCTGTGTTCATTCGGCCTTAATAGTTCAATGAAAGTTAGTTGGACCTCTCATGCATTTGAGAGAGAGATAAGAAAAGTCGTTGGTTTTATTGAAGGGAAGGTAGGTGTGAGCTTCTCCAACTACCACCAGCTCTAATGAGACCATAATTTTTGCACCCAATTTCATACCCTCCTTGTTCATTTATTGCCCTTTCAAAAATTTAATCATAAAAAAAATTTAAAATTATTAAAAATATTTTGAAAAGTATATATATAATATAATAATTAATTGATTATTTATATATTGCAAATTCATATGCTTTAAAACTCTTTTTCTTTATTTTATTTTTTTTAAATAATGTACAATAAATCTAAAATTTATTGCTTGAACTCAAGATTTTGGATAAAACAATATTCTCCTCCAACCAATAGGCCATAAATTATTTTACCCTCTGCCGTTATTACTTAATGATTAGTGATTTAATCCTCCAATAAAGGCATGAATGTATGTAATTGTGTATTAAAGACACTAAACATTAAAAAATATTAAAAATCATCATGATCAAAATTTAGTCTAGATACTCTTATCTAAGGACTTTCTTGTCATTATTACTCCAAACTTTTACGCTAGTTATCGGCTACCTAACGCAATCCTTCTCTTTTCTCATACATGACTTGGGACCTGACAACGATAGTGTTTTTATTGTTATTAGAAATGATTTTTATCATATTTAAACTAGAATTTGACTTTTAGGTTTCGTTTACGACGGCTTTTTTGTTGCTTCTTAAAACGGAGTTTTAGTTCAAAAATTAAAATTTTGTACTAAAATTCTGTTTTAAGAAACTATAAAAAAGTTGTCACAAACAAAGCCTTAACATGACATAATGAAAAAAAAGGATTCATGTAGCCGACCCCACATAATCGTACAAAGGATATATGTTGTTGTTGTATTTAAGACTTTCTTGATATAGCGAGGCAATTAATAAGAACTTATGAAGACATCGTTAATACTGCAGTACTCCTCAAAATAATCTATATAAAAATTCATTTAGATCTATTTTTTTTTTACAATGAAATAATTAAGGGTCAGTTTGGGACAACTTTCTTATTGTTTTGCTTTTCAGATTAATAGTACTTTTCAAAATTATTATTTTTCTCTTAATAATTTCAAAATCACTTTTATAAAAAGCTACAGTCATTCCAAATAAATCTTAAATTTAAAAGTGTTTTATCTATTTTTATTTGAGAACAAAAAAAAACTAATTAATCTAATAAAATGCTATATATATATTTATTTATTTATTTATGATGGGGTGGTGGGGTTGGTGAAAGTATGTATGCCGTTCTCCCCTTCCCACCTACCACAGGTCCACAAGTGAGAAGCCCTTACAAACCTAATTCCTCTCAAGGTTAAAATTATTCGTCGTTGGATCTTCCCACCCAGCTTCTCCTCTTGCCAGCTTGCCTCCAAATATACGGCTCAGATCTTCCAGGGATTCTGACCAAATCTCAGAAAAATATCAATTTAAAAAACTAATAATAATAAAATATATTCTCTTTTTAACTGTATAGCACGGCCGATACCTTCACAAATGGCTTGCAGTGCACCTAAGCTCCATGTGCTTCTTGTCAATGTAATTATTTAAAGAATTAGAATCTTTTTTTTAATGAAGAATATTGCAATAGTGTTTTTGAAATAAATCTATAGCAAAACTATTTGATATTTTTTATGTAAGAACAGAATAATTTTAATTTTTTTTAAATTTTTTATGTGACTGATTTGAACTCGTTTAATTCTTATTGAGTTTGAGCTCGATTTATTAAAGAATAAAAGTTAGAATTTGATTTTTTTGTTCCATTTAAAATGTAGCTTAGGCCAGCAGATCGGATAGCTTAATTAATCAGATCTCCGTCGCAACTTCACCTCCTAAGCCTAATTAAAGAGAAAAGACAAAAAACAGACGGAGAAGCCATGATCAGCGTCTCCTCCTCTCAACATGACAATTCCCCGTCAGCACCACCGTCACCACCGCCGGAGACCGTCATATTCCGCTCCAGACTACCCGACATTCCCATCTCCAACCACCTACCGCTGCACACCTACTGCTTCGAAAAACTCTCAGACTTCGCCGACAACCCCTGTCTCATTTCGGGCACCTCCGGCCGAGTCTATACCTTCGCCGAAACCCACCTTCTCTCGCGCCGCACAGCCGCCGGCCTCTCCTCCCTCGGCATTAAACAAGGTGATGTAATCCTCCTCCTCCTCCAAAACTGCCCTGAATTCGCCTTCGCCTTCATGGGCACCTCTTTCCTCGGCGCCGCCGCCACCGCGGCCAATCCATTCTGCACTCCAGCGGAAATTCACAAGCAATTCAAAACCTCCGGGGCTAAACTCATCATCACCCACTCCATCTTCGTCGATAAGCTCCAAACTGGAACAACGGTGATCACCGTCGATGACCCACCGCCGGAAAAATCCTGCCTTCCGTTCACCGTTCTCTCCGACGCCAACGAGTCTGAACTTGCTGAACTAAATTCTATATCCCCCGACGACACGGTGGCGCTTCCTTTCTCGTCCGGAACGACGGGTCTGCCAAAAGGGGTGATGTTAACTCACCGGAGCATGATAACGAGCATCGCGCAACAAGTAGATGGAGAAAATCCGAATCTTTTTCTGAAAAGTGATGACGTTGTGCTCTGTGTTCTTCCCCTGTTTCACATATTTTCTCTCAACTTTACTTTGCTTTGCTCGCTGAGATCGGGTGCGGCGGTTGTGACAATGCCGAAGTTCGAGATTGAAGCAATGCTGAGACTGATACAGAAGCATAAGGTGACGGCGACGGCGGTGGTGCCGCCGCTAGTGTTAGCTTTGGCGAAAAGTCCTCTGCTGGAGAGCTTTGATTTGAATTCTATAAGAATTGTACTATCGGGGGCGGCGCCGCTCGGGAAGGAGCTCCAGACCGCGCTATGCCGCCGGCTGCCGCACGCAGTCTTCGGCCAGGTTTCTTTTTTAATCACACAAATTGTAATATTCATAGTAATTTTTTTTAATTTTTTCTTCACAATATTTTTAAAATAATATTTATAAAATATTACAATCATCTCAAATAAAATGTTATTTTTTAAAAAAATAAATAAAATGTTATATACAAATGTATTTGAAATTTTTTATATAAAATAAAAAATATTATTGATTTTATTTTTTAATTTTTAAGCATCTCTGTAATTTTTAGGGTTTAGGGTGTTAATTGAGCAGGCTAGCTGGTTGGTTTCTTACTTTGTTGGTAAGTAAAAAGTTGGTGTCATGAGCCATGACACCACATGGTCATTTTAAAATATTGTCACGTGCCCAAGTAATAATTTTTTTAATTAAAATATACAAAAAAATAATAATTAGATTCTCTGAAAAATTCACAATTTGCCTTTGGGGGACTTCTCACCCAATTAAAATGAAAGCACAACACTGAGGCTTAGGGTGGTTGGTGGGAACCTCTCATCCGCATTTGAATCCCCTCTACTACTGCCTCACCTCTTCAGTGTGGCAAAGCAAGTGTGGGCCTAATGTCGGTGGGAGGCCTCGTTAAGTTCAGCCGAGGAATTAGTTACACTGTCAAGTACTCCTTTGAAGTGCCAGTGGGTAGATACCCTTGTTCCCAAAAAAAAGAATGAGCGCACATAAATCATATTATATTTCATATATAAGCTTCGAATTCAATGCCTCTTAGATTTTATTTGGGAGGGCTTTCTTACTAACTCTTAAAGCTGCTTTACGAAGCAGTTAGAAAGCCGTCCCAAATAATAATAATGGTTGGACAGAGAAAACGAAATATATGACATTTTAAAAAAATTGTAAATACGATTATAATTTGAAAAATCTTAGAAAAAATGAATGCTTTGTTAATTTAAATTTAGTAAATAATGGGAATAATTTTCTGTTAATAAAATATAACAAATCATAATTTAATGAGAGCCCAAAGCACATTATAAAAATATGAATACCTAATTTTATGTATAATATTTTTATTTTCATTTATAATATTAAGTTAATTTTTTTCTTTTATTTACTCCACAAAAATTGCATAATAAATTTAAAATTATATATTTTATGATAAATGAAATATTAAATGATTAATTATTTACATGTTTATTTTAAATTAAACTTATTTTTTTAAATTGGTCAATTCTTAGCCTAATTATCTCCCAACATTGTCAAAATACACATAAACTTCTTCAAATTTTCATGGGGGAGAGCAATGGATATATTTGTAAATAGAAATTTGCAGGGCTATGGGATGACTGAGGCCGGGCCGGTGATATCGATGTGCCCGGCCTTCGCGAAGCAGCCGACGGAGGCGAAGTCGGTCTCCTGCGGCACTGTAGTTCGCAACGCTGAGCTCAAAGTGATAGACACTGAAAGTGGATTCTCCCTTGGACGAAACAATCCTGGCGAGATTTGCATCCGAGGAGCCCAAATCATGAAAGGTAATTAATTTAGTGGACCCTATATCTCTTTTTTCCACCCACAACTTTCACAAATTAGAAATCACACCATATTTGCATTCTACCATGTAGCACAAAGTTCAATAAATTTTGAGAATACCAATGGGTGCCTTTGAACACTCACCTTATATATATTTAAATACAAATTCAATGTCTAAATCATATTAAAATATATTGTATTTTAAATAAGTTAATTTTAATTATGTTAAATGTAATTTAAAATTTTAGTGGTTAAATATATAGATATGCAAATCTCTAAAAAAAGTTAGGAGAGCACAACTTGATCAAAATTTAATCATATTAAAAATTAATACATTTTTTAAAATATAGAAAATTTTTTGAGATATTTGGATAAAAATTATAGTACGTTGGGCTTAAAAATTATTGAATTTTTTTTGAAATTAATACAATACAAACCTTTTTTAAGTAATATTATTCTCATAACAAATTAATTAGTAATTTTGAAGTAAATCCAATAACTTTTATTCTAAAACACTTGAATGTATTTTAAGATAAATATAATATAAAATTAAATAATTATCTATTTATTTTATTCATCTCCAAATTTATTTAAAATTTTAAAAATTCAAAAGTTTCTACGCTTCTATTAGAGTTTCAGATAATTTATTCAGGTGCGTCATGCCACAGGTTATATGAATGACCCAGAAGCCACGTTAGCAATAATAGACGTGGAGGGTTGGCTACACACAGGCGACGTCGGCTACGTGGATGATGATGATGAGATTTATATTGTTGATCGGGTTAAAGAGCTAATCAAATTTAAAGGCTTTCAGGTAATGTATATAATCCATTAAAAAAAGGAAAAAAATGATGGGTTTTAGCCAAATTGAAATGATTCAACTACTAGTTGTTATTGATTTCAAATGATGTCTTTATTTATGATTGAAGAAGGTGTTGATAAGTATAGCAAAGATAGACTGCATAGAATGAATTTCATGGTAGAAGTTAGAAGACCTTTATGACATTGAAGCTATATTTAAAAGTCAATCATTTTAAAATCAAGAATTCAGTATAAATTTTCATGGTGATGTTGAGAATCATAGTTGCTGTCGATGAAACACATCAACTTTGTAGGTGATGGTGTGCTTCAATATTGGTGGCGATGGAGGGAGCATTGACATAGACTAGCAATTATGTTTGGAAGGTCTTAATCGGGTGAGATTGTTTAGGAGGATGTAGTCAGATGATCGCGCTCAGCAGGTTGCAGTTGGCGACAATAGTCTGGAGATTATAATCAGGCCATGATTGTTAGAGAATTATAACTAAACGATGGTAGTCGGAGAATTGTAATCAAACGAATTGGTTAAAGTGTCATAGTTAAAAGCAGTGGTCGAATGATTATAATCGTAGGATCATAGTCCAGCAATGGTGACTAGGGGTGTCAATTTTGGGTCATGGGTCGGGCTCAGGTCGAACCCGAAACTAACCCTGCACTATTCGGGTCAACCCGATTCTGACCTGTTATTGCAAACTTGTCAGTTTTCCGAACCCAAACCCGACCTGCTTCGGATCCGGGTTAACTCGACACTACCCGAATGACCCGGTGCAAACAAAAAACTGCTAATTTTCGGGTCCAAAAATGGGTCAATCTTAGCTTTTCATGTCAAAACAGATCAATCTAGCTCGGGTTGCTGGGTCAATGCGTTTTTGGGTTTGAAATGGGTCAAATTGTTGAACCGAACCCGACCCGTTTCGGGTTCAGATTGACCCTAACATGAGATTTTTGGATCATGTCAAATATTAACACCCCTAATGGTGACCAAGAGAACTAGTTTGATACATTTTTGCAGGTGCCTCCAGCAGAACTCGAAGCCCTTCTACTAAGCCATCCATTCATTGCTGATGCTGCCGTTGTCCCGTAATTACTTATCTCCTTCATATATTAATTTAGCTTATTCAAGGAACTAAAAAGCTCCATATTTTTCTTAAATATAACTATTTTAGTTGGCTTTTGTTGTGATTTGATAGGCAAAATGACGAAGTCGCTGGTGAAGTTCCTGTTGCTTTCATTGTTCAATCCAAAGACACTGAACTCACTGAAGAAACTGTAAAAGAGTTCATAGCCAAACAGGTTCTTTTATTTCATTATTTTACAGTTATTTGGTCAAGTTTAATTTTGAATTCAAGAAATATAAAAACTTTTATTTTAAGAGCAAAATTCGGGCCAAATCAAAATTTAAATTTGTCATTTATCTCATTGATCATTATTTACATCCTTTTAGGTGTGTTTGTGTCTACCGTTTTCAATCATCCTCTACAGATCAATATACGATTCACTCTGATTTTGACCTAATTAGACCTACATTGATCCTACTTGATTTTGAACACAAGCTAATTTGGCTCTTGATTTGTTTGGAATAGCTTTCTTACTGCTTTCTAAAGCAGCTTTCTAGTAGAAAAAATTTCTATTTCAACAAATATAATTTTTGAACTAAAAAGTTGCTTTAGAAAGCAGTAAGAAAGCCGTCCCAAACAAAACCTCAATTGATAATATTGTCAGGCACTTCCAGGATATAATTAACTTTAGAAGCTTGTTTTTTTTTTTCGAAAAACTTGATCCCATAATTAAAATAAATATTGTTTGAAGTCACATTCCTTGCATCAAAAATCTCTGGGATAGATATACTTAAGTTTCGTTTGGGATGGATTTCTTACTGCTTTTTAAAGCAGTTTTCTAGTACAAAAATTAATTTTTTGCATTAAAAAGCTACTTTAAGAAGCATAAAAAAAGCCGTCTTTCGTTGATCCTCGCGAGCCTATAAAATGCATTGATAATAGCAGTTGTTAAAATATATAATTTATGATGAAATTCATTTGTTTTAGGTGGTGTTCTACAAAAGATTGCATAAAGTGTACTTTGTTCATGCCATTCCAAAATCACCTTCAGGGAAGATATTGAGAAAGGAATTGAGATCCAGATTGGCTAATGCTTCTTCCTTATCAGCACCACCACATTGAGCAATTACTGTATTTATAATTGTTAGGAACCAGCCTTATGCGCATTATATTATCATGGAATTCTAAATGGAATATTATTTTGGTGATCTTAGATGTTTATTTATAATTTATTTTCTAATTAATTGTTTGAACAATAATAAATTAAGTTATTTTTGTTAATTTGTCCCCCTTCAATTTTTTAAAATTTGCATTCAAATTTTCTTTATTTAAAATTTTAGGAGGCAATTATTCTCATTTAATTTATATATTTTTCTAATTTAGTGGTTAGATATTCAAGTCATATATTTTACGATTTATTAATAAAACTTTTCATAATTTATAACTCACCATACCGTTCAGTAACGGTCAAGTTTTTCAAAAAATGCTTAATTTTCCTCCGCTCAAAGGCTCCAATAGAAGATGACAAAAGATTCATTGAAATCTCCAAAAATAATCTAAAGAATTATGAATTCAAAACTAAGGTTTATTTGGACCACATTAAGATTAGCAGAAGCAGAGTTGCAATCAAGTAGCCAATAATCACCATATCTGCAATGGAATCAAGCGAAAGAGAAGGAACCACCAATCCGAGAATTGGCCGAAGGTGGTTTAATGGCTACCCATAGCAGCGAGATCGTGATAGCAATGAGCCCCGACCACACGAAGACGATAGTGGGCGTCTTCCCCCTCCTCCCCATCAACCCTTTAGCGAAAGGGTACAGATGAGCAAGAACCCAGAAGCTAAAGAACACTCCGACGAGCAGCCGGCTCCACTGCGGGATAATCGAGTACAGAGTTCTGCTCACGCCTACTGCAAGGCCAATCAAGTTCATCAAGATAATGGTCAGCGGCGGAACCATCAGCCACGTCCACTTCACGAGGTAGAGCTCGGCGAACTCGTCATCGTTATTGTCGTCGCCGCCGCCGCCGGCATACTTTGAGGTTAGAGTATAATGGATCTTAATCCGAGTGACAGCCTTAAACAGCCCCTGCAATATTGCAGCGAGGTGAGCGCTGGTTCCGCCGATAAACCAAAACTGCTCGTTACGCCACCATTCCTCAAGCTCAATCCCTGACCACCTGATCTCTAAAATGGCGAGAAGGCAGACAGTGAGAGTAATGACGAGGAGGTAAATGATGAAGGTCATATCTAGACTCTGCACTATAAACTGCCCGGAGAAGAGACAGAGCGCCGGGAGGAAACAGTAGGCGATGAGAAAGATTGAGCTGAAGGGGTAAATGCTAACATTAAGGTACGCAACACGCTGCAAAAACTTCATCTTGGGGCTGGCGAAGAGAGCATTGTTGCGGGAGAAGAAGATCTCGACCGAACCAGTTGCCCAACGGAGAACTTGGTGAAGCCTGTCCGTGAGGTTAATGGGGGCTTTGCCTCGAAAAGCATCGCGCTTGGTGACACAGTAGATCGACCGCCACCCGCGGTTATGCATCCGGTAACCAGTTACTAAGTGCTCCGTTGCCGACCCGTATATCCACCCGACCCGACTCCCCCACTCCGTCTTCTCCTCGAACCAGCATGACACCACGTTAATGGCCTCCGCCACTGTGGACGCGTCGAGCGGGTCGCGTTGGAAGATCAGCGCCCCGGAAGGCCGGCCGTTCTTCACCGACGGATGGTCGGCGAGCGGTCGACCTTGGTACTCCGTCACGGGAATTGAATCCATTAGATAGATCGAGTTGCCGAATTTGCTGGTATTGGAAGAAATCGATAAGTCTGGCGAAGGCATATGAAGCGGGTGGTGGTTCTTCGCGCGCGGGGGGTCGAAGCCGTAAAGCGCGATGCGGCGGAAAAGACATCCGCTGCCAACGTAAACAGGGCCTTGCAAGCCATCGAGCGCACGCAGATTGACATCGAAGAAAACGGTGTTGTGATTGGCGTAGCGATCGGAAGGGTCGATCCCTTCGAATCTCTGCGGGAATTGAACGAAGCAAACGCGGTCTCCGCCGCGGTCCATCATGAAGCAAATTCCTTCCCGCAACGCCTGCGAATTGTAAATATAGTGATCGCAGTCGAGGTTTAGTACGAAAGGCGCGTTAGACATTATAGCAGAGGCTCGTAGAAGAGAGTTCATCGCGCCGGCCTTCCTGTAATGGTTGCAAGCCGTGCGCTTTTCTCGCGAGACGTAGACGAGCATCGGAAGCCGGACATCCACTTCGGATAAGTCGAGCACGGCTCCGCCACCGCCTCCGCCGAAGACGGGATGGTCTAATGGGGTTTTGAGCATGACTTGGATGATGGCAGAGTGATCGCCGCGAGAGTTATCGGCGGCGGGGATATTCCAAGTGCCGGGCCAGTGGGTGCCGTCGGCCATCCAAGTGGCTTTAGGAATCTTGACGGCAGGTTCAACGGAGGAAGCGTTGAGCTCCTCGCTGGCGTGGAAGGCGTCGGAGCGGCGGCGGATGGATTCAGGGAGACCGTTGATGCGTACTTTGAATTCGTCGTACTCGCGCTTGATGCGGCGGCGGTCGCGGACTAAGTCGGGGCGGAGTTTGTTTTTGTATGGATCTCGGTTGAGGGAGAAGTAGCTGTCGGGGTTGCGGGGTTCGATGCGGTGTTTGCGGCAGAAGGGAACCCAGACGGAGGCGAAGGAGGCCGCTTCGGCGATAGCTTCGAAAGTGAGGAGGGAGGCGGCGTCGTCGGAGAGGTAACAGGTGAGTTTGTCGACGGGGTAATCAGCGGCGAGGATGGAAAGGATTGTGTTGGCGGTGAGAAGAGTTGGTTCTTTGACGGGATCGGCGGTGGCGACGAAGACGTCGATGGAGGGAAGGTCGGATTTTGCGGTGGGGTTGGATGGTGACGGGGACTCGAATTTCTGCTTGAGGATGGAGAGGTCGGTGGCGCGGTTGATGGGTGAGACTTTAGGGAGCTGATCGAGAAGCCATGAGAAAGCGAACCAGAGCTCGCATACTACTGACATACCCCACAACCAGATGGCGTCTGGGTTCTTGTGGGCTATTCTCCATGCGAGAAACAGGGATAGAGCTACAATGCGGACGGCAACTAGAAGCCTGCAAATTTATGAGACTGCATCAGTTTATGCAGCAACAGAGAAGATTTAGCAGAAATATGCTTGAAAAAAAAAAATCCTATCAGTTCATTGAACATAAATAAAAGGGATCAATGCGTGATTGTGTATTCAATGATATTTATATTTATTAGGGGAGATCCATCATGAGGTCAGGATAGAATTAGCATCTAGAGGAGAAACCTTCATGAATAAGTTCCTAGAAATGAGATGTGTAGAAGAAAGGGGAGAATACTATATAATGAACGAGAAATCATTTCGTGTGGAGTCCGGACACGAAGAATTATTTGGACATATGAGTGTACACACTATGTATATATTTGTACAAAGTGTGACGCAGGAGCGTCCATTTAAATAAATTATATTTTCTTGTTAGTGATTGGTGTAGCCTTATTTCTTGTGTAGCCTATTATGTGACTACCTGAAGTCTATAAATATAGGCCAATGTCTTGTAATAAGGATAGATTTTTGATATGAATAAAATTTGAGTTTAGTCTCATGTGTTTTCCTGTATCCTAAGAGTGATTCTTAGGTGGTGGATCTTTCCTCCAAGAAGTGCTTGGAGCAGTGTCTGGCGACCGTCACCGGATCATCGACGTGCATTCGTCGAGCCCCTACCTGGCCGGTGTCATTTGGTATCAGAGCCGGCAAGGTGCTGGCGTTACCAACAAGGCAGGGAGAGCTTTTGAGTTTTCTGATCTAGAAGAAGAAGCAGTTTCTTGGCGCGTCCTCTATTTTTCTTTCTGTATCCTGAATGGATTTTTCAGGTGGTGAAGAAATTGAGTTCAGTTGTCTGTAGAAACGAGTGCAGAATATTGCATCTACATTCAAGATTCTGTCAACTATCAAGAAGTAGCAAAGCGTCATCCATCCTTTGCTCGTGAACCTGGCCAGGGGTTGATCTTGCTTTCAGCGGGTGGTGCAAAAGGGTATCAAAGGGGTTGTTGGCATTCTTGTCCTTCGTCACATCACCTCCATCATCGGCGTCGTTTGCTCGCAGCCTACCTCCCCTCCCGCTCCAAAAAACGATCTCCACTCGTACTCTGACAGCCAACAGTCAGAGTTGCTCCTCCTCCTTGAAGATCACGTCTGGGTGGTTCGGACCAAGAGGTTGAATCGCAATCCAGAAGTGTTGTCCAATAGCAAGAAGGCTACTAACAACAGTCTTCAGCCACCTGATTATTTCTGAGTATTTCTTGATATCTCCCTGAAGAAAAATCCAGGTGATGGCCAATCTTCTCCGAGGCGGACTTCAAGAATTATTTCTTAAAGTGACTGGTGGATTTCCAGTTGCCTAAAGAGGATCGTCCGTGAGAATTAGTTCTTGGCGGAGTGCATCTGGGATCCGAACAGGACCGCCAGAGACAAAAACTTTTTTAGCCTGTTAGACAAGCAAGATGTGGCCTCGTCGAACTCGACAACGACCATGTCAAGAAGCCGAAATTCAAGATCTTCAACAAGAAATTGCCCTCCTCAAACAACGATTATCGAGGCTTGAACAAAAAAAAGACGTGCGCCCCCTTGCCCGGGACTTTGATGGCATTCATCCACGATATGATCATATCTCTTCTATCTACGAAGACGTATTTGACAGACCACCTCGTCAGTCTTCCACCACACCTTCGATCGAACTCTGCTTTGAAGAATTGGAAGATCCATTGCCGAACTCGTCGTATTTGCCTCTCTACGATGAACCCGTGTACGATGTGTATGATGACGACATGTTCGGTGGAGTTCTTGATCTTGATCATCACATGTATGACGATGACCAGAGCAAGATGGATGGCCCGCCGGAGTTATGCATGCATATTCCTCCTGTTAAGGCAATAAATGTGCTTGCCATCACTGATAAGAGGAATGTTCCAAGTAAACTATTTTATGAAGGTGGAGATAAACCTGAAGGCGACTTAAAAGATTGGATATGCTGCAAGATTGTTGTTCACTTAGATTGCTATCGTAGTCCTAAAAACCCCGTTGGTCCATGGCAATGTGAGTTTTGCAAGGTTACATCTTTACAGGCAAGTTGTAGGAATCAACAATTGGGTAGCAGTGAAGAGACTTGTTCTAGAGTCCAGTATAGTTTATGCAGTGGTGTTGACACTGGTTGGATTTATCCATATTGGTTTAGCCAATCAAACCCACCTCCTTATGGTGGCCAACCGGATCTCTTTCTACGAGCTCAATGTTCCCTCCTACCCTGGTAGAATGACGCAGGAGCGTCCATTTAAATAAATTGTATTTTCTTGTTAGTGATTGGTGTAGCCTTATTTCTTGTGTAGCCTATTATGTGACTACCTGAAGTCTATAAATATAGGCCAATGTCTTGTAATAAGGATAGATTTTTGATATGAATAAAATTTGAGTTTAGTCTCATGTGTTTTCCTGTATCCTAAGAGTGATTCTTAGGTGGTGGATCTTTCCTCCAAGAAGTGCTTGGAGCGGTGTCTGGCGACCGTCACCGGATCATCGACGTGCATTCGTCGAGCCCCTACCTGGCCGGTGTCAAAGTGTGTATCAAATCAGTGTGTGTAATGTTTATAAATAGTGTGTAAACTCATAGTCTAGATGGTTCTTCTCATCCGGACTACGCATAAAATAATTTCTCATAATGAATAAAAATTTAAGTGTTTTGATTTTATAACTTATAGCCGCATATAATGCAGTGAGGAGAAGGTTCTACCAAAAAGATAAAAAAAAAAAAACTACTGTTACACAAGACTTCCATCTAACTTAATCAATTGAGTTATTATAAGAGGGAAAGATACTCAACTCATCTTGATCTATTCGTTAAGGGTTTTGGCTATCAATTAAGAGGTTTTGTCTTCGAATTTTGTATATGTGATGTGTGTATGAATTTGACTTATTTGACCTAAATATTTCAAAAATAACAATAAAAAAGAGGGAAAGAGAACAGAAAGAAGGCAGCATGAATCCATTTACATTAGATAAATGTATCATTTTTATTCATACATACATATATATATATATA